GTAACAGATCAGCGTGACACAGAATACTATGATACCTGGTCACCAGCACTTAGCGTACAGTCGCAGTGCTCAACTGAAGTCTGAAAAGAAGTTACTAGTAATACAAAACCATCACATCTTTGTCACGGGTGTGTCTCACGACATGCTGTAGGACCTGACTCAATCGTTCTGATACCGGAATGGTGGGTATGAAGTAGTACTACCAACAGACACACACGCACAGAAGAACTCTACTCGAACCCCTGAGAAGGACATGAAGTGACCGCCATATCATCTAAGCTACACTAAGCCGCTCTAGCGAATTCCTGGAAATTTATCGCAGTCTAGCGTGCCATACACAAGGGTAACGTTTCCTTGATCTGTGGTGGTTGTGACGTTCATGGTTCTTCCAGCTTTCGTTAACACGTGGGATGAGACAAAGCAGTCAAGGGCTTTCTGTTGTTGTTCAAGCCTTACCAATGTTTCCCCTTTTCCCCAGCAGATGAGGGCTAATTAATTTATTTGATCAACCACAGGCAAGTCGTACACGTCTACGAGTACATCATCTCGCCAAAGAGAATCTTCATTTACATGTACCTCACAGCAGCTTATGGGCAGCAGGGCTGACTTCGTGGCTTGACCCAACGATCCCAGCAACGTCACTATCACAGCACCAGTACAGTGTAGTGTACAATGTAATACATGTCATGTACTGGCTGGCATTGTGTTACTCTTTGCCACTGGCATTGGTCTCCACTAGTAAGTAAATAAATAGCATCACAAATCTCTGACATGTTGAGAGTGACGTTATAAGATGTAAATGATTATGTACATGCACTCTGTGTGTCGGTGTTGAACGACATCACGATATCCATTCGTCAAGTACATCGTGACTTCACGTGTTTAGCTTTTAGTTTAGAAGTAAACGTTTTTTGTTTATGTGCCATCCATCATTCCATGGCTGTAGTAGTGCCCGGTGGCGGTGGGGATGCACTGCTTGCTTGAGGGCAGCTAAGACTAGTAATAGTACAGGGAGTTTATACACTAGAGCGAGGCGGTGGAACTGGAAGCAAGCTGCATCTCGCACATGTGCACAGCTGCTCTGCTCTGCTCTGCACTACATCACGTACAAGTACATGACTGTACAAAATTAATAACGTTAGTACTACATAGCCATTGCCCGGAATTTCTAATGACCGTGTGCACCGGATGTTGGAGACCACATCTGTGCAGTGGATGTCATGCATAGTGTACGCTGTAGATTCGACGTTCTACACCCGCACAGTCCCCAGTCACCAGTCACCAGTGCATGTACCACGTACATGACTGTATAAACTCTAGCATCATTTAAAATTTCTCAATGCATGTCCATGCCAGTACAGGTTAGGTGGTACTTACCCGCATCTCCCACTACCATTACCACCACTACCACTACTACCACTACCACTACCACCACTACCACTACTAGTACTAGTACCAAGAGTAGATAACAAGAGTGTGCAACTCCGGATCTCTCCTGCACAATCTGCAGATACCCCCACCCACGGCGGAATTTTTTGTTGACGTCACCTTTTTCAGAAGAACGCGCATTTTGTTGCAGAGCAGTGTGAGAGCACGTGCTGGGCACCGACTTTGTAGTGCAAATGCGGCCAAGTGCACGAGGGAAACTTTCCAAAAGACTTATAATTATAGTCATAGCGCGTGCGTCGTCGAAAAGATTACGTCAACAAAAAATTCCGCCGTGGGCCAACCCATCCGCGAGTTGCACACTCTTGTTTATCTACTCTTGCTAGTACTAGTGCACTGATGATGTGTGAAGTGTTCAACTCATGCCTTGCACATGCATGGCTTGAATTCGAAGTAAGTGTAAGAAAGTAAGTGTAAGAAAGTGAAGAAAGAAAAAAATGTGGTCCAAATGCATACGGATGACGTAGACTGAAAAGCCGCCAGACGCTGAAAATCATTATAATAATTGAAGCGAGACTGCTACGTAACAACATTACTACATGTACATATTTGTACATGTACATGCTCAGAATGTGGAGACCACTTGCATAATGCTCGTAAATCATTATACATGTACATGTACATGTACATGTACATGACGTAATGTACATTGTAGTTATTTCCCACTATGTAAGGGCTGACCACTGACCAGGCAGGCACAGTGCATGGGTTGGTCAAAGACCATGATTGAGGTTCGAGAGGTACGTGGTTCAAGTCCTGCCTGGGAGCGGTTTTTCCAGCCGTGCTGCTACCCACAGTCAACTAATACTTGGAACTTGTGGCCAGGCACAAGGGGTACGTGGATGCGGCTAATGGGGTTTCTCGGCACTTGTACTAGTGGTTGTGAGACTTATCCACTCACCCCCACCGTTAGGCGCTGCATCTGCAGCTAGGGTTTAACGGGTGTTAGCGGCCGTCGTGAGTTCCCTTCGGGAACGGACACGATAATTTGCTTTTTTTCTTCTTCTTTTTTAAGGCCTGAGTGGATGATAATGCACTAGCAATGCACTAGCATTAAGAATACCCTAAACGAGTACTTTAAAAACTCAGCTGCTAGCTGTTTCCACCTTGTCAGGTCTATGTCAGGTCTCCTCAGCCAAGGTCTAACTGCGTGAAACACACCGTGAGCTTTGCACGCACGCCGGCAACTTTGACACTAACTTACTAGAAAGGTATGCCCCCACATGAGCGCGACCCAAAACAGTGCGGTTGACTTCAGCAACGCCACCCCCCCCCCCCCCACACACACACACACACAAGCCCCATCCCCATAATGGGGCGTGCAAGTGATGAGACGAGCTACGGTGACACAGTGTCGCATTAGGTCGCGCTGTACTGGGGGGGGGGGGGGGGGGGGGGGTGCTATTATGAACACGCAGCGTATAACTATAAAGTAGTTGCGCTGTGTTGGGCGCAAATCACTAGACAGAGTGCTCAACCAAGCCGGGGCGAGGGAGAGAGCGAGAGAGAGGGCGAGGGCGCTTAGAGTCACTGGTCTTGCTTTGGTACTCCATCCACCATGCATGCCGGTTTCTGCATTGTCGTACTCTGTTCATATGCAACGCATCATAACTAAACTTGTGAAGTACAGTTGAACATCGATTATCCGACCACCTCTGGGCAGACAACTGTCAGGCGGTGTTCAGATAAGGCAAATGTTCTGGATAAGAAAAAAACTGTCACTCACACACTTTCAGTGGTTATTACTAGCCGCACGACCTTTTTACTTTTTACTTTTCAAAATTTTCGTATTTTTTGAATGGCTCACTACATGCACAGTGCGTACTCTACGGCACGTGCGCCCAAAAAAACTGTTACGGATAATCGAATGGTCGGATAGTCGATGTGCGGATAATCGATGTTCAACTGTACAGTGTGATGGAGGAGGCAGAAGAGCATTTCCTCATGCATAAAAGAGAAGAGAGAGAGGAACATCCCGTTAGACATGCAGACAGAAGGACATGCAGATGGACTGGGTTGGAGGTGGACAATGGGAGTCCATGAGATGCTAGAATAATTCTAGCATCTCATTGATTGAGGAAGAGCGGAATTCAAATGTTCTGAGGATGGCGTAACAGGAGTATGTACACCGGCTGCAGGGAGACTTAGCTGGCATAATTATGGAGGACGTCTGGCTGGGAGGCATATGAGATAGTCAGTTTTTTTTCAAAGCACACAATCCTACTGATGATGTGGGGTAACAGTAATGGGACAGAAGACTAGGGCAAACAGACCGTGAAAAGGGGTAGGACATGCAAAAGCAAGGTGTAGGTTAGGCGAGTTCAGCTAGTCCGACCAGAGGTCTTGGAGTCAGCACTGGATGCGCGCGCACCAGGAAAGGGTGAGGGCGGCCAAGCCAGTACAGGCGGCGTGATGCGCATGCATAGAAGATTCGCCGCACCATCGCTGCCCTCTACCTCCTGTATAAAGCCCTCTGCGATAATTCTCCCTCTGTTCTCTCGACAATGGCTCCACCCCGACACACCCGCCAGGCTGTACGACTATCCACCGCGCATCCCCATCAGTTACAGAATGTTCTTCCTGCCAGTTCCCGGAACAATGTGAGCCGAGCCTTTCCCCACTCCGTTATCCCCATTTGGAACCAGCTGCCTGCCTCTATCATTCCCCACCCATTTCACCCAAAGAACATCCAGAAGTTCAAGCCAGCAGCTTATCACCATCTCCTCACAACAAACTGGCACTGGGCCACTCATAGCGTACGCGAGTAAGAGGGTACAGTCAGTGTCCTACCCTGCTTGGACCTAACCTCTCCTCACAGACAGTCTCCTCTTGAATTATTAATTAAAAGTCTAACAGTGTTCATGTCAATACTCAACTCATTCTTTTGCTCACTGAGCAATACAATCTTTTCATTTTCTTTCTTCTGTTTTCTTTTTCAACTTAATCCTCCGTACCCGATTTCCCTTTGGTGCGTCCATGGAGCTATGAAGCCGAGACCACTGGCCCCACCACCACACTCCATTATTCACCCCAGTGTCTGGAGATATGTGGATTTTGTAGGAAAAAAAAGAAAGAAAGAAACATTCCACGAAAAGTGACTGTACCCGGCCGGGTCGAGACCTGGGATATGGGAGTCACGAGTCCTGTGCATGGTCTGTTCGTGATGTACATAATGACATTGTATACTTGAATGGCTGTCTGTATTCCCCGCGGCACAAGTCAGAAGTATTTCACGAGGGGAATGATCTATCATTCAAAATTTTGGCGCCCGTACCTTCGAGCTGTGGCACACGACGTTTGCTTGACTAGCTGTCACAGTGTCAGTGTCAATGTCACGGTGATGAGAGCAAAGGTATGATGCCTACTGGAGTAAGAATACATGCTTTGGACATGGCCTGTCTGCCGTCCTCCGGAGAGTACAATCGTCAATCCCCCCGCTACACAACACCATAGCTGGCATAGGGAAGCTGCGAAGTCAGGCTGCGGCTCACTGGCCAGTGGCCAGAACTCGATCGCATCCGAACGACTATGCCTAGCCTATGATAATGAGCTCATATACGCGTACCGAGTAAAGGACCGTCGAAGGTGGAGGTGTGTTGGAGAGAGGGTTTCTGCCTGGACCCGAAAAAGAGTTTGATTCTGCCACGAAGTAATAGGTCCATCAATAACAGCGCGTAGCTAGCTGATTCGAATTTCCTTTCTGCCCGCTCAAGTGTCATTGTTTCCTCATTCAAAATTTCCGTCGACGCACGTCGTGTTACTAGCTAATCTGGCATACAGATGGTGTTCTGCTGGCCATGTTTGTTTGAGAAAACTTACTTCCTAGCGGTCCGCACATGTCATTCGGGATAAATATGGCATTGGAATATGTTTGCCTGCTTGGATAGCTGCCGCCGGTTAGCAACGCACAGAGCGAGCCTGATCTCAGGAGTCCACTACCGGGCATTTCAGGAGAATGACCACGGTGAGACGATACGCCCTGCTGGTGATGCTGGTGTTCACCAGCTGCGGCTGCCAGTTACCTCAGTGCTGTGGCGTTCATGTGGAGACTTCAGCGCGGCAGCATGGCAGTGCATCTGGAGCTATCCGGTCACAGCCAGAGGTAAAGACGATGTGTTTCATGGGCTCAAACGACCCGATGAACTCGTGGGACCCGATATCAGCGCTTGCGGAAACACCCAGTATGCTTTCCAAACGCGACTACGATGGTGTGGCTGTTGTGTCTAGTCTGATGACATCCGTTAGCCTAGAACTGCAGTCAGGTATAGAGTCTGTAATGGCTGTAGCAGCTACCTGGGACTACGAGCAGCTGTGGCCAAGAATAAAGTCCAGTTCTACCTACGTCTATCACACGAACCTCTCATCTTGGTACCGCGTGCTCAGTGCTGAGCCTAGCCCGCCTCGATACGGTTTTTCACTTGTGGCATCCAATGATCACAGGTTTGTAGTGCTACATGGTGGCTTCACAAATGATCCAAAGTATTTCACGGATGACACCAGCATTCTCAACGACACGTGGAGATTTGACATTGCCACAGCAGGCTGGCACAAGCCTAATATATCCGACACCCCTGGCGGCGATGTGAAACGTAGAGCGGCGCATTCAGCAGTCATACTGCGCGATCCCGAAACCGACATAGCGATGATGATGGTATTCGGCGGCTTCACGACCTCCAACCAGGAGACAAATGACCTGCTGACATTGAACTTGGAGTATGGAGTTTGGGATGAAGTGGAGCATGACAGTTCATCACTCTGGCCTAGTCCACGCTACATGCACTCAGCCGCCACTACAATCAACAACACTATGCTCATATTCGGAGCTAAGTATGATGAGGTGCTCGTCAAGCATGACCTGTGGGAGTTCTCTCTAGAAACGAAACAGTGGCGTGAGCTGCCAGAGCTTAACTACACCATAATTGAGTGGTATGGATGCAGTAGCAATCTCTTTGCTCAGAACTTCTCGCCAAACGTAGCATACTATTACCGAAGCCTCGATACGCTATTTGTGTTCCCGTTCAAAGGCGGTCGAATTTGGCTGGGAGACATGCCACGTGCGCTGTTTGAGTACGATGATCCACTATGCACATGCTACTTCAACAGGTCGGATCCCGACCAGGAGTGGAAGTGTGCAAAGATGGCCATGCCGGACAAGATGGATGACTTCTTCTGGGTGGCGGGCACCAGCGGAGCGTTTGGTATTTACCACTTTGGATTTTCCTACGGTGTGGTGTCTCCGACAGAGTGGGTGTTTAACTTTTCAGAGGCCGCACACGCGCCTGGTGTGTGGCAAGCATCACTTCGCCAGTACCCTTCCACTTCCTTCTCAGTTCCACACCATCACATTCTGTCCACGGCCGACTATTTCCCTGCCACGAACACCGTGTTTCTGTTTGGTGGCCTGAAGCTGATTGACACAGGGGCTGTGTGGCAAGAGCAGGGCCCGTATGACTTAGACATGGCTGAAAATGACCTCTGGCTATACAGTACTACCGAGGATACTTGGTCTCGACTACAACTCAACAACACACCACCAGAGCGCTATGCGCACAGCTCGACTGTGGCGCATGGCCGCGCGCTTGTCATTTTCAGCGGATTTCACCGGTTTGAGATGTCACTGCAAGATATACTGTGGTGCTTTGATATGTTGACATTGAAATGGGCATTAGGTCCCGCTGTAGCACGGTCCGTTCACGATAGCTTGTGGAGAGGGCACGCTATCACCGTGTTTCTGCCAGCAACAAACGAGTTGATCGTGCATGGAGGCTTCTCGCCATCCAATGAGTTCCTCAACTCCCCGTACAATGACACTTGGGCATTCAAGTTTGCATCTAACGACCTCAGTGACGTTGTTGGGTGCAGGGGCAATTGGCAACAGTTGAACTGCCCCAATGCACCACAGCTGCTTGGACACACGGCAGTGGTGTATGGTGATGATGTGATTGTGTTTGGGGGAGCACAGTTTGATGGCTTTGAGTCTGGCTTCAACTTGGCACCGCAGAATCGAACATGGAGGCTGCACAGGGCGCTCGGCGATTGTCATTGGGAAGAAATCATCACAACACATGCTGCAGACTCTGCCAGCCAGTCCAATGTGCTACAGGCAAGACTATGGCATACCAGCGTAGTGTTTGGTGCACAGATGGTAGTAGCCGGTGGCTGTATCCCAGTGTTGACGTGCGCAGACTTAGCCTACCCTCTAGCCTGCTGCCACGATGCTCATATAATCATGACACATGTGTGGGTGCTGAATCTGGTCACATGGGAGTGGACCTATATCGTAATTAGATCTTCAGATCTCATGTACTCAGGTAAGACATGTACAGTAGACCTGCTATCAATAGTACAATGTTGATATCACATGCTTACTACTAAGGCCCAGTAAGGGGCTGTCCATAATTGTTGCCATTTATTGGAACTGTGCAAAGCATAGACTTTCGGAGTCTCCCCCCCCCCCCCCCAACCATTCACACATGCTAAATTGTAAAGTCATTATGACAAGCTTGTATCTTAAAATAGTTTTGCCCTATGAGAGAACATATCGCTGATAATATGGGGGCAAAGGATGAAACTTCGAGAAAGGTTCCAGATTGAACAGCTAGCGTTTCAAGTAACTCTGTTTGCCATCTGCAATGCCTATGTGTTTTCTTCCAGGTATGCACACTGCTGTGGCGACCGACCACCGCATGCTCATCTTTGATGGCCTGCGAGGCAGTATAACTGCCTCTCCCAATCGCATCTATCGCTACGATTTGCTGCGAAAAGATTATCAAGTCATGCTAGCCTCACCGGCAGGGAAGTCGTCAAACTCATTCTCCGATTTCAACTGGACCACATGTCCTGTAGACTCCTATGGGGACCAAGTTGGCTCCAAGACATGTTCGCCGTGCCCTGAAAGAACAAACACTGAACGGCCAGGCGCCACTTCCTTGGAGAGCTGCCGTTTCTGCTCCTCGGACACAGTGTGTTATGGACACGGTACCTGCGTTGTTGATGAGTACTTTCAGCCACACTGTGACTGCCAGCTTGGTTACCTATCAACAGACAATTGTCGTCTCCCGCTGGCCTTTCTCTACATGGGATCTGGCATTCTCTTCCTCATCTTGATGATAGTGTGTCTAGTGCTCTGTCGGATGTACAAGAAGAAGAACAAAGTGGAGGCGCTGGTGCAGCGGCGACTCATGAGATCGCAATCGCAAGTTGCCCAGCTGAATCTAGCGTGGCAGGTGAGATGGCACTTTGGGCGATGGGCCGGGGCATAGTACTGGAAGCTTACTAGTAACAGGAACTGACTAAGCATGTGATTCCCATTACAGTGGCATGTACCGGTGTGTGTGTGTGTGTGTGTGTGTGTGTGTGTGTGTGTGTGTGCCCGTGTGTGTATGTGTGTGCGTGTGTGTGTGTGTGTGTGTGTGTGTCGCTACATTAATCGGGGCTTTTTTTAACATCACTGCATTGTGTTTCTTGATTTTTCTATTAGATTGACTATGGAGAGCTGGGTATGGATAAGAGAGTTGATGGCGAAACTCCGGGTGCATTCGGTGAAGTATGGCTGGCAACGTACCGGGATATGCCAGTAGCAGTGAAGAAACTGAAGGCCGTGCAGATTGATCCCAGAAGTCGCCTGGATTTTGAACGAGAGGTGAGATGGAGTACCTATCTATTGTTACCCATACAGTGAATGCACGCAAGCGCCGCCATGTGCCATGGCAGCAATTCCTTCAGTTTCTAGCCATGTGCTTCTGCACACAATCTAGTATACACAAGTGTGCTGGGATACTGTCTTAGTTGAAGATAATTCACAGCATGTGTTGCGGTGGCATGCTCACACCAATATTTAGATCATTTTTGATTTACATTGGAGGACGGGTGGGGGGGGGGGGTTGCACTATCAGTATTATACAGAGCTCCCATCGTTGGAGCTGAAGTGTATCAATCTACTATTTACATGAATACTGTGCAACTCTGGCATATGCATAATGGTGGCACAATTTACATGTAGGACAGCTGTGTAGTTGATAAGTGGATCACCAAGAGTAAATAAGTTCCCAAGAGTGTGTAACTCTGCATGCCCTTTCTATCAGGTCCGCCGACAGCAACAACTCACATCACGTGGTGAAGTGTTCACGTTGCATGTTCCCAGCCCACTTTTAGCAAGCTGTGGAGTAGTAAAATACTATACTCACATGATTAGAGCCCACTCTTGAATAGTGCCCTATCTCGAATAGTGCCCCAGTCTCTAAGAGCCAGTGAAAAATGAAGCCCTCTCTTGAATAGTGCCCCCCCCCCCCCCCCGAGCTTGTAACCAAGCGCATGTGCAAGTTTGGTGTTCTTTTGCTAATGCTCTTGTCCATGTCATGGAACTGGTGGTTTCGGGCTCAAAATCGCAATCATTGGAAAAATAGTGCCCTCTCTTGAATACTGCCCTCTCGTGAATACTGCCCCATATGTGATGGACATTGAAAAAATAATGCCCCGGGGGCACTAATCGCGCGAGTACGCGGAACACCCTGACAGAAACCCACTCAGTTTCTGCGAGTCCTCAGCTGCCGGGACCGTGGCAGATACTCGGGGTGGGTGCTGGGGGGCTGCACGCACGTTCAGGGCCTTCATTGTGCACAGTGCAATATGTACTCGGACCATGTGATGCGAGTTGAGACCTCATATGCAGAGTGGCACACTCTTGGGAGCATATTTTACTCATGGTACTACGTTAGGCGCTGCATCTCTCGCTAGGGTTTACCGGGTGTCAGCGGTCGTCGCGAGTTCCCTTCGGGACCGGACACAATAATTTATTTCCTTTTTTTACAACATGTCCCATAAGTGAAGTTGACATGAACAACATGTGTCGGGCTGTGACAAGACCTTGTCCTCGTACAGTAACACTACTTAAAAAATTGAAAGGGAAATCTACACGTACAATGGATCATGTCTTGCTGCCATTTTGTTTACTGCTGCACAGGTTGCATTGATGAAGACTATCAGACATCCGAATATTGTCATGTTTCTTGGAGCAGGTCTGCACCAAAACCAGCCGTTCATTGTCGTCGAGTTCATGGCCAGAGGGCCGCTATCCTCCCTGATTCGCAATCTCTCCATACCGGTGAATCTCTCGCAAAAGGTTCGCTGGGCCCTTGACGTTGCCAAGGGAATGCACTACCTTCACAGCCTGATGCCTCCACGTATCCACAGAGACCTGAAAACATCCAATTTGCTATTGAGCGAGTGCTGGGTAGCCAAGGTAAGCTTCATTGCTGAGCGTTTGTGTACTTCTTGAATAGCTGCAGTATACCAGGGGCGCAGCACCCGCTACGACTGGTACAACCATGGTCGTACCACTTTTCGAAAAGTGTGGTCCGTCTGGTACGCGCAAAACCGTAATAAAAAAATTCGGCACCCATCAGATCTTTGACTGTTGTTTGAGTTTGACTCAGCTCGATTGGACACGGCTGTTAGGTGCACTTGGATCACGACAACTTAGTTTTCTGCACGTGAACCATAAAATCCTATGGCTAAAAATGAGTAAAAATGTGCCAAATATACCCAGAACACAGGATTTTGTGTCTTTTTTTACAAAAAATCCCAGGGGATGGCCCCGGACCCCTCCCCCCCCCCATTCATAGCCTGCTCTGTCCTTTGGTCGTACCACTCCCCAAGCCCCTCCTACGCGCCTGCATATTGTTTACTCCTTGGACAAATATAGGATAATGTGACTCTATGAACAGTTGTAGCGTATTTATGCTGCACATAGAGTGTTCGATTTGAATGCACATGCATGGGAGCCACTAAGCAACTATCTTTCGGTCGAGTTTCCTTCTCCACATGACCACCCGAATAACACGCAAAAGCACATGACTCATGAGCAGCGCATACATGTACATGACTGTACAGGCTGTGCTTTCAGATGCACTCACCCTGCTGGCCTGGCCACCCTGGCCACCCTGGCCGGACACATGATGGTTGCCGCTTGACCAATGATTCTTCACATCTGGCGGATCGAGTATGTTATTAGACGTGGGGTGGCCAACCCTCGTACTAAAGACTAAATGGGGCTGCACTATATTGATGTGTTTTCTTCTAGTGTTTTCGGTTTTAAATTGGTTGCCAGCTGTCTCCGAAGCTTAGCTTTATTGTAAGAACCTTCAAAGGCTCCCTCTGCTTTCAGGCTGCACATTCCTGGCCCGGAGCCAGCCCCAGAGGGGTGGTAACTGTTTCAGCACCGGGGTGGCTTCAGGGCTGATAATTCCCCCTCCACCAATTTCAGTATCATAGGAAGACGTCTCTGACAGTTATGAGTTAGCTCTGCGCATCATCATAGCTGGTTGTTTTAGCTGTACATCCTGCTAGCAACAGATATACAGCTAGCACGGGGCAAGGCTAGCACGGGGCAAGAAGAGCAGATAATGCGAGATACTCTACTGAGTCACAGTATACGAGGATAGCCAATTGGCATTTCCACAATGGTGATTGCACACTGGACATTCCATGAGCACTGACACTGGTAGAAACTGCATGGTACAGACATGGCCGTGCCCCCCCCCCCCCGTATCAGTGACGCGGACGCTGCATTCACATAAGTCAGACATACTATAGCAGAACAGTCTCAACGTAATTGGTTGTCTGGCTAAGGGAATTGTTTCTTTATGCCTTTTCTTTATTTTCTATTTTTCATTATGTAACTTACTTCAGCTCAGACTCTGTACTAGAGCTCAGGTGATTCTCTATATTCTCTGACCAGGTTTCCAACTCTTTCTCTGCCCCTATATCTGCACATGCTTGCCCAGGTTGCTGATTTCGGCACAGCGCGCCTTGTCAGTGATGTGTCGTCTCGATCGCCAGTTGCACCAATCGACGAGGAGGACGAGGACGGCATGCGAGAGGCATCACAATACGGCCTGTCCACTTCACCTCGCGGCGCTGCAAGCTTCGACTGTGAAAGCATCGGGCTACTGCACAGCACAAACTCTGCGCTGATGACAAGAAATGCTGGTACACTGCTGTGGTGCTCTCCAGAGATTCTTGCCGGCAAGCCGTATGGTGCGAGTACGGATGTTTACAGGTAAGCCAAGAGATGGGGCCTGTGTGACTTGTGTTTGATCTTGCTCTCGGTGTAGAATATTAGCCAGCAGGAGGAATGAAATATCCCGTGATGCTGAGACATGCATAAATGGATAGCCATTGTTGAAATTTCTACCCTGAACATTTAAAACCCAGGTCCGAAACATGTTCCTTTGCATGGCCAGAGCCTCGGAGCTGTTTGTAACAAAACTATAATACTCCACTATACGCCTATACTTTTAAGTGTTACGTTAAAATGTTCTCACTGAAGTAAAGAGGGATGTTGGACAATGAAAGGTGAAACCAGTGCCCATCCTGGCTATAACCAATACGACTGAGCAATGCTTGAGTTCGTTTCTGTCCCGTCTTGTTTTTGTACCTGCCGGTTTCTTCGGACAGCTTTGGCGTAATCCTCTGGGAGTTGTGCAGCAGGAAGGTGCCATTCTCTGAGTTTCCAGATTTCAAATGGATGTCAAAGATTAGTGATGCGGTGGAAGCAGGTCGCAGGCCCACCATACCCGAGGACTGCCAAGCAGACCTAAGTGAACTGATGCAGCAGTGTTGGCATCATGATCCGGAGCAGAGACCTACATTCAAGGACATTGTACGCACACTGGATGACCTGCAGGAAACAGTACCTTGAGCTGATGCGTATGTATGCAGGCTCGTGGAATATTTATATGGCTCAATTTTCTGAATCGTACTTCTATCAATACACCACTGAGTTACATTGTACATGTACGATTGATTTTTTTTCTGCATCCTGGTTACAATAACGGTGCTGAGCTGAAGCCAGTTCTCTCACTGTTACAGAGACGTGCACATTGAATTTATGTTGAAGGAATTCACGTACAGTAACACAGGAGTAAATACCGAGTGCAGCTATGCTGGTTGAGTTGGTGAAGTGGTATGACTTGGGGTCCCCCAATTGCCAGAATTATGGAACGGTACCTCCTCTGTCTGCTTCTCTGAGCTGCTGGTGACTGGTGTACAGTGCGTTGGTCCAGTCTTCACCCCCCCCCCCCCCCCAAATCAACCGTACTGTGGTCATGTACTACAAATGCTCCACATACAGGCAGGATATGAATTCCTTACACATGGGACACCACAGCCATGAGGTTCAAGCAGATGTCATGTACATGGACGTTGTGCTGTAGCTGCAGAACCCCTACAATGTACATGTATGTACTCTTGGTTCTAGCTGTCTAGCACTGATGACGTGACACAATGTGACCAAGCCGCAGTGAGGAAGATGTACACCTACTACGTATTATGGCACCCTGATCATGGTCTCTCCTCTCTGGTAGATGACAGCCCAGTTCCTCTCCAGCATCCCAGGTTATACTCTCCATCCCAGGTTATACTCTCCATCCCAGGTTATACTCTGCATCCCAGGTTATACTCTGCATCCCAGGTTATACTCTGCATCCCAGGTTATACTCTCCGGCATCCCAGGTTATACTCTGCATCCCAGGTTATACTCTCCGGCATCCCAGGTTATACTCTCCGGCATCCCAGGTTATACTAATGGAGTACTACAAGTAGTACAGTCAACTTTGCGAATAACGACCTTCGGCCGGGCATCGGAAAAATGTCCTTATTCCCCGAAGTCCCATTTGAATGTATGTGAACCCATATTTTTGTATAGTATGACACGCATATCAAAATGAAGCTCTTTTCATGCTCTATGCCAACGTGTACCCCATTTTCATATTACAATTGAAAGGAACTATTAAGTCGATATGGAAGGGAAATAGATTGGAAAAATTAGCCTTTTGCAGGTTTTGGAGCCATCTACAGGGACGTGTACATGACATGTATGATGATTACTGTACAATCATGTAGACCTACAACTACAGGGCATTGTAGTTGTGCTGATCACTCCAACATGTATTTAGAAGCAAAAAAATAAAAAGCACCCCCCCCCCCCCTTGGCTGCATCGTCTTGCATGTGGGCCTTTATCCATCGCCATGGATGGCATGGGTTCTGGTACTTCTGCATGACAGGTATTTGAAATAGCTGTCAAAAGCCCAGAAAGTCGTTATTCAATCAGTGAATATGACCTCGGGGCACTATAAGCATGTCGTTATTCAGATAGTCGTTGTATCCGAAGTTAAATGTATACAGTTAGATGGGACTTTGCTCTGGGCATGGAAATTCTGTCGTTATTCGCGAATTGTCGTTATATCCGCAGTCGTTATTAGCGAAGTTGACTGTACACTTCAATTGAGTATTCTATTTATTGCCGAATTTGGGTCACAGTGTCTTTTGCTTTGTTTCTTACTTTTATAAGTTTCACGAATATGGCTTTGTGAAAATACTCTTTCAAAAAGTACACAGTGTCCTCAAAATACTTCGTTTACACTGAAACTTCACTGCACTCCAAGTCCAAGCTGCAAGATAGGAATACCATCAGTGATATTCTAGATCTTGTCACCTACACTGTACATGTATGTTTACCTATTATTTTACGGAAATAGAGATACTCACTTTCCTCACACCCTAGGAGAGCTGTCCCATTGATACCTTGTTGCCACATGCAGGAATGTCACGCATCCCGCAAGCGGTGTACTCTTGCAGTCTTGGATACTAGTAATATTGAATGGTAACACTAACACTAACAGTAACACTCACGCAGACCTACTGTTTGGAGATCACCGCCTGCATTTCAAGCATTCCTCTATCTGGTCGCACAGCCTAGTGCATGCAGGCTGAAGTACACATGCATGCACTCATGAGTCATGAGTCATGCTGATGCATGCAGTGCATTCCACAATCCAAGAATTCCTAGTTTTTTCATGGCCAAACACCGAAAAGGTGTGACCCACGACAAGTATTAGTTAGTTCTGAGCAGGGACTCCCGGTCCCTGGTTCTGAGGCTAGAGCAGATGCTAGACGAGAGAGAGATAGATGAGAGTAGAGCCTCCACTGCTCCAGTGTCCAATGCAGGTGCCTACTTACAACACTGTACAAAACGCTTCTTCATGGAATGCACGTAGTACATGTAGATCTCCTGCCAGTAGCCTGTTTGTGTCCCAGAAACTATTATACTTTTTTTACGAGTGTTCAATCCAGAGCTTCAGGAGATCATGTTCTGGTGCCAGATGAGTAGAAAACATCAGACCAATGTACAATTACAGAACTCAGAATAACAAGGACAATCAAGGCTTGTTTGCTGCGACTTCAAGTTTCATGCTCTTGCAATCATCAGGCAACATGAAGATTTGGTGCCGACCATGCCAGTATTATACGTGTACATGTATGCCAGGAGAAAGTGGTATGAAAAGCTGTGAGAATGTGGAGGCTAGCGGTGTTATCTTAGGCAGGAGGCTGTGTGCAGAGTGTATGGTTGTTGAAGCCAGGGGCTAGCAGTGCAATGTTAGCGCAGAATGTGTGGCTGGTGTGCCTCCTGCCTAACATAACCATGATAACACCGCTAGCGGCCCCCACATTCTCACAGCTCAGTTTTCATACCACCTTCTCCTGGCATACATGTACATGTACATGATTGGATAATACTGGCATGGTCGGCACCAAATCTTCATGTTGCCTGATGATTGCAAGAGCATGAAACTCGAAGTAGCAGCAAACAAGCCTTGATTGTCCTTGTTGTTCTGTTCTGTATTACGCTCTGCCTCCGCGGTGTTGAGCACTGTCAGCAGTCTCAGCACACTGGGTACACCCTCCGGTACAATGTACAATTATGTATGTACATGTACATGTAGATCTACATTGTACATGTGACATCATTGTTTGTCGAGTTGTGAAAGATGTTCATAGAATGAGCAAGAACATCAAACCTACTTTCACAGGAGTAGCGGCAAGATTACATCAGTCATCAGTAAGCTATGGTACGAGGCAGTAACTAGTAAGGGAAACGTACCAGCATGCGGTAGTCAGTAACATCAGTAACACGTGTTGAACTAAAATTCATGTTCACCAGTTTGAGGGAGTTGGAAGGGAAAGTCTGAAGAAAAAACCGACTTCCACCACCTCAGTGGACTCGAACCAGGGACCCTCCCATATGATCAGCGATGCTCTACCACTAATTGCCATAGTGTAGTCGTCATCCCAGTAGCGAACATTCAACATTTTCTTCAGGCATATACAATCGGTCATGTACATGTAGCCTAGGTGAAACCATATACAGGAATGCATTATAACAAGAAGTCATCCTCGTTGAATGTCTGCCAAAACACCCACCGCTGATGGTATGCACGGGGCATAGCTTCCGAGTCGCTTACTTGTAGACTTATACTAGCTAATATAGGCGTGCGGAGTAACCGTGTTGTACACTGTACCACCGATACTAGCGATAGTGTAGTAATGAGAGTTCGTCACGCAGCCAGTGTATTTTTAGCATAGCAATAGTGCGAGGAGGTGCAGTACGGAGGAATGAGGGAATAATGGAATGAGCACTTTGTATTTTATGTTGTGGGCTGGGAAGAGGCCGGGAGCAGGGCTGAGATTCCAACCGGTCACCGAGGTTACAACAAACGCAATGGATCCAACAATGCAATCCGCCTTGTTGCGATGACCTGCAGAACATCTTTTTCCTGTCATTGACATTCTGATCACACAGGTATTGTGCACACAAAGACAATTCTGCTACTTTGAAATACAACAACCCATTACTATGCATGGGGCTATCGGCTTAGGCGTCGCCATGTCCCTGAGCTCAACCCAACTACATTGTACTGCGCATATCGGTATTCCTTCGCTGTGTCTGTGTGCAACATCACAAAATATGACGTCTTAAAACTATGGAGGAGTGGAGTACATATAAACCGAGTTTATGTACTCGAGTTATGTACTCTTGCTGGTTCGTTTCCGTGTCCATTGGCATAGTGACTATCACGTACTCAAGTCTCATGCGCGCATGCGGCCTTCATCCTTAGCGTTGTGATGCAGCACTGTCCAGCCACTCACTGCTATGCAGGCGCATTCTCCTAACCTGAACCTAACCTGTAATCAACCCGGGTTCCAGGGTGAAATGCCGATTTGCACCAATAGCCATGAGTCGGTCCTTTCAAAGGCGCAATCACCGACGCTGTCAATGTTCAGAGCCCGTCCTACGTCTTTCTCAACAAAGCAGATAACCCAGGGCTCGGAATGAGAACATCGCAATCCACCCGGAAGAGTTCACTGACACTGTACACGTACTGTTACAAAATGTAATGATGTCAATGTACTTTCTTCTCCTACGAAATGCACTGCCAGAAAAGTACAGCACAATGAAGGGACCAATGATGCCATCATGTCATGGCCTTGCACAGCACATACATGTACATTTCATGACATGATTGTACATGTAAGAAGCAGCTACCAACTCCAAGTGGAGCGGGTGGGACATATCGACATTATACATGTACATGTATGTAGATCTTCACGTAACAAGCACTGCCGGCCATAAGGTCATAAGGTCTCGGTATCACTGCTGGATACTAGTATGCGCACCATGTGAGCTGAATACAGAACCGTTCATACTATCTGCTGATGTTACTCAATCTTCAGACAGCTACAAGCTGGTTTGACCCTTTACCATGTACATGTACTGTAGCCTGTAGCCTTGGAGGTCTCCTCAGCTGAGCTCAGAGCTACTGCCAGTAGTAGGCACTTCAGTCACGTGACACGACCTGTCAAAAAGTGCTAACGCTGAATCGCGTACATGCGTGGCACCGCGGAAAGGCGCATGCATAGATCGATCTCTAGCTGCACGGAAGCTGCGCAGGGCCTTCTCGTGTGGCGCAGCGTGTAGCTGAGGCCCTCAGCTTTCGTTTGAGCCCACATACGTCATGATGCGGCAATTTTTTGAACTCACGTACAGTTCGAGTAAAATCGGCAAGGATTTTTCGGGCATTTCACTTGATTGCACG